ATCTTTTGAGTAGATTAGAATCATTTGGTGGATTTGGGCAAGGAAAGGGCATTCTTGAAGGCTAGAGCTTACTTGGTCGAGGTAAGTTAAGGCTTTGACCTCTATAATTCTTTTTAATTGATATTTTTTTCACATATACTATGTATATGGGGTACCATATATAAGACGACAAGTATATATACGGATACCGAAGTTATATGTTAGGGATATCATATTATATCTTGTATGCATTATCTGTTAAACTTGTTATATGACTAGTTGAGCATCTTATTCTTGTTAGTATAATAGACATTCTTCACATTCTAGTTTAATATTATAGCCTCCATACAGAGGCAGAGCCAGAATTTTAAGTGTATGGGTTCAGAATTTTAAGACATGACCGTGACCTCAAGTTAATATACACAATTATAACACTAAGAAACGAGTACTAATATTTAATATATATTTAAAAAGTAACGACCAGTTAACACAATATATGACTATAAATATTATCGTTATAATTGCACTTGACGACTTGTCATGTTTTGAAAAATAAAAAATGATACATCATTAGGTAGGTCTTTAAGTTTCAACATTTTCTTCTTTGTATAAAAAAAATAAACAATCATTCAAAATATTGTCATCAATGCAAAACTTCATAAAAGCAAAAGTTCTTTTTACCATTGCAGTAGCCAAAGAAAATATCAAATTTAAGCAAATAAACAAGTCTCCATATCTCGTGAATATTTGTTCTAAAAGTTCATTGAATAATGAATACTAGATGCATAGAAAAGCTTTTCTACTTTCCTTTTTTTCTTTTTGCTAATATATGAAGATTATCATATGATGCAAAGTTTCCTCACCAGCTTAATGCCCAAATCCTTTTCTAGCCTGAACAAATATTGATATGAAAAATAATTTTTTTTATTTTTAAAAAATTATTTTGTAGTCAACCATTACAAATTGAATATCTCACTTTAATTTGATTTTGCACAATAAAATAAATAAAAATAAAAGAGGTGAAGAATTTAAATCGCTTAGTGTTTGTTAATAAAACTTTTGAAGCCATATATAAATATTATAAAAATTTATAAGAAATGGAAATGAACAAAATATATGGTCCACCCTCCAATTAATACACAAATCATATTCACGTGGCAAAACTGAGAAAAATTAAGAGATCGGTCTAAGATTTTAGGGGATGCTGACAAATACAAATATAAAAAGTCGAAATGAAAAATTCAGCCTTTGGAATCAAAAATTTTAAAATCAAGTAACATTTACTTAAAAAATCAAAAGATAAAAGAAAGGCAAACAAATAAAAGAAGATGGAATAGCATGTATGGACTTTGAAAAAAAATATGACTAGTTGGTACTTTTGATTTTGATTTTAAGTAATGATAAAAACTTTAAAAACCTTAACTCTTTCCCTCGCTTTTCTTTTGATTTTGATTGGGGAATAACTCTATCAAAGAAGTGAAAGACGGGTTGTTTTTGGAGCTTTTGTCTTTTTCTTTTTTACCTTAGTAATAAGTTTGTGGGTTTTTTCAAAAAAAAAAAAAGAAGAGGAAACGTAGTTAAAATGAGTTAAAATTGCTCTGCTACTCGGCAGTATCGAAAAAAAAACGTGGTCCGTATGAGTTGCCTCCGAACGCAGAACTCTTACCCCTGAATCCAAAGCCTTTTTGTTACTTGGTTCGTTGTTGTATATTTATATCCTTTCAATAAATTTTTCAATGCAAATACAGGGTTCGAGAAAAAGACACTGGGTTCGCCCGAACCCACATTCACTATTGTAGCTCCGCCCCTGCCTCCATGGATACCGATTTCCACAATTGAACTATTTTAATCATACACTGTAATTCTCATTGCTTGTATGAGATGATATTAGAGATATGTGAACACATATCTGGGTTGTTAAGGATATGTGAGATCATATCTGGTTAGCCATTGGGGGTATGTGGATTCATATTTGATTTATGTATCAGTTAGGGCTTGTGGACTAACATTCCCGTTGCGTATTGATCTAGACCTATCCCTCACGAGTCACTGTTACCCGATTACCACGGGTACTGTATGCCCAAGTTTGATACGTAATACCGTTGTTTTTTATGTCACGGTTGAATTTTTATACTGTTCAATGATTCTTTATAATGTTTCATGCATTTCTACTAATGCTATACTTGTGCATATTTTACATATGTGTTGTTTATGCATTTAGACTGTTAGTAATGTTAATATTAACTACACAAGTTTATGAAAGTAAGTATTTTCGATACAATCACCTTATTGAGCACGGTCTATGATACTTATTGAGTACTTCCCCAACTCAGGCTATACTTCTGCACTGTTTGTATATAAAGACCAGAGAGTGCTAGTGCTACTAGGGAGCGAGCTTTGGTAATTTCCAGTGGTGTGCTTCTTGCTTTCATTCACACTATCCTATTTATTTTGTTTATGTTAGAGAGTTTTGTGTATTTGAGGTAGTTGTACTTTCTTACTTTTAGCCATCATGGCTTGGATAAATTGGGTCCTGACATATGTTCGATCGGAAGAAGGCAAAGACTGGGAGGATTGGACAATTACATATTAACTTGTTGGTAGTCTCATATACTTAACATTGACCGAACAAGATATTGCCTTTCACATCTGAAGTACGCATTAGTAGGTTTATGCAGAAATCAAAGACGTTAAGAGTACTAATTAAGGTATGTGAAAGGAACCATTGACTAGGGAATTGTTTATTGTAAATGAAAATAATTGAATATTGTGAATTATGTTGGTAACTATGATATTCGAACATCACCACATGATATTAATATATCAGGGTACAACAAAATAGATTCAATTGTTTCACTTTAAATGATAAAAAAACACGAACAATGGCAGCAGAAGAACTCACGAGGGACTTGCATCGACCAATGGAGGATATTGTGGCTACATATATATGTTGGCCAAAAATCATGTCTTTCCCATCGGGATTACTTTTTTCGAGAAAAGTTCTTTATTGGTGAAGCCAATTAAAATGGACGAGCAAGTAACGATCATACTTACAAAGACAACATGAAATTTATCATATTACGAGAATATAATCTCTTGGATTGGTTGTGAGCATGAATAGAGTTGGTGATGAGGGGAGTGTTAAACTAAATCATCACCAACTTTACTTATTGTTCAAATAATTCTAGAGAAGTCAAAGAATAACTCCAGAATGAGAATTCTAGAGTAATATTGTAGAAAAATTTGGTAGCAATATTCAAGAAGAGAGTAGCAAATACCCTTTTATAGAGGAGATCATTTGAGTTGTGAGACCAAGCAAAAAGAGAGTTGCTAGATGTGAGTGAAAGAAAACATTGAATGTAAAAGATTTGCAAGATGGAGGCTTAGTTTGCAAAGGTAAACTTTAAGATGCATATGAGCAAACCAATAACAGGTTATATCTGGAATATACGTCAAATATATAATAATGCAAAGTAAGTTTTATTCTTCGATTTATTTCCTGTTGCACCTTAGAATAATAAACAAGCCCTAAATGTAATGCATATATCCTTAGATGTTTGTAACTCCAATTAACCGGTAGTCCGTCTGAATGTAAAGCCATGACATGAGTAAACATTTCCAAGTTAACTTATAGATGGGAACAACCCGACCCGCTTATCATTTGTTTATTTACTAGTTTTAGGGTACGCGCTTTGCGTGTGTACCTCATCTCAATAGTATGTTTAAAATATTTATATAAATGTTATATTAAAATTATATTTGAGTTATAAAATAAAATTTTACATAATTCAAATAAGAAAAGAATTTATACGATATATTTAATATTAAAAATTTATATATAGTTCAAATAAGTAAGGATTTAATACACAAAATTTAATTAATTAAAAACTTTAAAATATTAGAAAAAAATTAAATGATGATTTTGGGAAAATGATGATATCGAGTATACAATTACTGATTCGCGTGCTATTTATAGTTCCATTTATTATTCTAATGAAGTTCAAAATTAAATGGTGACGATTTTGGACTTTCATTTTTAGTATCTACGTTATTGGAGTTATATTTTCTTATTTATTTTGGAATTAATTAATAGAATATACTTGATTTACATAAATTAAATAATAAGGATGTAATAATAATATCATTGTCTCCTCTAATGTTGGATACTATATCGTTTGAACTTGATGTGCAATAGTTAAGTGTGTTTTTATTAATGAATTATTTCTAGGATTTGATATTGAATTAAGAGACTTATAATAGCGGGTAATGGAAAAAATTTATTAGAATATGTTTATTTTTTTTTGTACATAAATGTTATGGAATGAGTGCTTCTTTTTAAGGTTAAAAGGTCGTTCAATTTTATATAAGGGTTTGATCAATCAATTTCGCGTGAATTTGAATAGATTCTTTCAATATATATTTTAAAAAATATTATTAGTTATATGGCCTAATATTAAATCCTAAAATTATGGATATTTGTTACTTCATATGCTTTTATCACAATTTCTCCAGATTTATCAACTAACACAAATAACTTAATATAATAAAAACTACATTTAGTCATTCGTTGGAATAAATGGAGAAAGGTAAAACTTTGTTGGTGAATTTTGTATTTAGGTGAATTGCCACCCGATTTGGTAGGATTATTGGAAGCATACTTGGGTGTCGTAGGCTTTAAGATTTTTTCCATTCATATAGACGTTGAACTTTCTTTTTTGGGAATAAAAGTGGCAAATTTATAAATGATCTCAAACTCCTAAATATTACTCCGTAGTTTATTTATAAAAGGAGATTTAGTGCATTTTGGTATCATTTTAAATAAGGAATGATCAAATAATCAAAATTTTAGTTAATTTTAAAGTTCTAAAAATTAGGAAAATAACTAATTTACTGGTTTATCCAATATGAAATATACTTTTCAAGGGTTAAAAAGGCGAATGATATTTCGTCAAGGGCCTTTGTGAATTTAATATAATATAGATAAGCGAGAAATCCATTAGCTAGCTAGGGAGATGGGAAACCTGAGAATACGAGAGGTTAAGTTCATCCATTATAGAAAACTGTGTTGGCGATGAATATCCAACCTGCAATAAGGCCAACATCACAAAGAAAAAATTATACAACAGAAAACTTAAGGAGATAATAAATAAAAAAGAGTACCACCGCAGGGAAACAAATAAAAAGAGTATACTATATGATTTAAAATTGTATCTGAACTTACACACGTTCCAAATGCATAGGAGCCACAAACAGCCACAGCAGTGCTCAAATAAACCATAACTAACTCCTCTTTATGAGCTGTTTGATCAGCATCATGTTTCACTATGAGAGGCTTCTCTGTATCTCCATTGCCATTTTCCTGATATTTAGAAGCCATTTTGTATTTGCTCAACTTTTCCCTTTTTGTTTTTGGGGTTTAATCGACCAGCTTATAAAATAATTTCTCTAATTTTTGCTACTTTTTCTACGCCCAAGAATGTGCCATACAATTTTCACAAATATCATGAAGAAGAATAGAAAAATGATGATGTTAAAGCATGATGCAGCACATGGTCAGGAATCCAAATCTCTTTTCTTTTCTTTAATGAAGAAACTCAAAATCTATATATTGAGAGAGGGTTAGATGAAAATAAAATTAAATAGAGGTCTATAGAGTTCCAATTTAACAATGCCGAGTCACCAGCAAATTCTCAGCTCGTCCTCTCAAATCCGATTTAGCTGCATCAATTTATAGCCAATAGATTTTCTATTTACCCAAAGACTCATTCAATTTGCAAACTAATGATTCCAAGAATTTCGATAACATTTTATTGCTATCCAACTAGTGTTACAACCCGCGCGATGCGCGAAAAATTTGACAGAATATTAATCTTATAAAATTATGATCTAATATATCATATTATTTGAATAAATGTTAGTAGTTATTATTTTATTATTTAATGTAGTGTACAGAAATATAACAAAATCTATACAAAATCAAAGGATACACATCATATAATAATCAAATAAATTGTTTATTCCTTGTTTATTCTTTATTAAATTAGCAAGTTCTTAGTACTATACATTTACTAATGTGACTTTTTACTAACAACTTGTTTGGATGGTTGTTACCTATTATATCGTATCGTATTGTTACTTTATACAATGTTTGTTTTGATTGTTACTTAAATTTTATTGTATCGTATCGTTAAATCCATCGTGATGTAACGACGAAAAGCGCCACTTTATGGAACGACGGATTTGGTATGGTGGTGTTGTTTCCTTGCTTTGTTCTCTCATCTTGCCATTCCTTATTATTAAATAATCATATTTTATCATTTACCCTACTTTTTTATATAATAATTCTCCTCCGCATCCTATTTTTTCTTAGTAATGTTGCAAGTTTATTCTTCATATTGTTAGTGTGTGATATCATAAAACGCTAGCAAACGATACAATCTATCCAAGCGTTGTATTCATCAAATAATACAATACAATGCAATACAATACAATATAATACAATATAATAAATACAATACATGATGAAACGACATGTAACAACAATCCAAACAAGCTGTAACTTGTCAATTGGCTTAATATCTTGATACTACTTCTCTTTTAATTGAACATAAGTATAGATTTTTCTTATTCTGGAATTGTTTTTTATACTTATGTTATACTGTTCAAAATTCTTCAATTGTCTAAATTTTTCAATAATTTTCTTGAGTGTTATTTATTTATCTTATATTAATTAATTAATTAATTCAAAATATAAATATTATAAAATTATCATTATCTCCATTTTTTGGTACATTCTTTTCTACTGTAATATTTGATTAGTTTTCTCATTTTGTATTTTATTGAAAATTTAAATAATATAATTTTTTTACTAAATTATAATTTTGAATTCATCAAAAGTATAAAGAGATAAGCCTTTTATTATTTTTATAAAAAAAACTACTAATATTTTTAATAATTAATAATTTTTGTTTTACATATAATATATTATCTTATGTATAATATCCTAATAGTTTCTTTATATTTTTATATTTTTTATTATGAAATTATGAGTTTTATTTATTAATTGAAATTTCCTACATGAGAACTTTAATTACTATATATATATTTTTATACTATCGTTTGATGTTTTTTAGTATTCTTCCTTTACGACTATTGTTTTATTATGATTTTAGTTATGTGTATATGTACGAATTTTCTCATAATAATTCTAATTATAAGTCTTATATTTAAAACTCCAACTTTGTTGGAGCTTTGTTCTAAAAATCTACACGTGTCGTCTTATGGTTATGCCACTTGACATCATAGAATTATTTACTTCTCTCTCTCTCTCTCTCTCTCTCTCTCTCTCTCTCTCTCTACTATATTAGGAAGAAATTACTCCCCAATTTGAATTGGTAGTTTTTTTATTTTTATTTTTTTGTTATTTTTTTTAATTTTAAAATAATTTATTCCAACTTAAAACTACTCTCCAATTTGAATGAGTAGTGTATTTTTTTTTATATTCTTATTTTAATAGATAATTATAAGATATCTATATTTATTAATTCAATTAGAGTAACTAATTAATTCAAAGTTTAAAATTCAAAAAGCTTTTTAGTTAGAAAGGTAGTTTATTTTGACTTAACAATGCCACTTGGCTTTTATGCCGCTTGTCTTAATATAGTGATTTTCCTTCTCCTATTCTATATGGATAGATATTCAAAACCAGATCTTCACCAAAATCACCAAAATATGAGGGTAAATCAGAAAACTTTAATTTTTCCCAAACTTTCAACAACAGATAAGATATTTCATTATCAGATAACATGAGGAAAGTACATTTTTATGCTTACATATCAATATGCATGTCAAGTCATCAATTATCACATATCGTCTAGCATGAGGAATGTATATCTCAATGCCATATATCGAATTTACATGTCAAATCATAAATGTCACAACACCGTATAGCATGAGGAAAATGCATCTCTATGCCTACATGCAAAGTATGCATGTCAAAAGAATAATTTCACGGTGATATTCTCAGGTACTCTCACCCTCAAACATACTCAAGCTGTCTGTCTCAAATGCCCACTTCATCACACGTACGCTTAATCACTCAGCACTGTACGGGTGCCTGGCTCATAAGCCCTTCACCAAAACACGTGTATATATATATCATCATGCTTGCGCCCATTGCTGGTATGTGAGACTCTGGAGAGGCGGATCCTGCCCAAACGCTAATATAAAGCCTATAAGGCCTGCTGCGGCGTGCAACTGATCCACAATAGTAATAAATCCAATAAGGCCTGCTGCGATGTGCAGCCCGATCCATAATAATAATAATAGATAATAATAAAGCCAGTATGGCCTGCTGCGGCGTACAACTCGATCCACAATAACACTCACAACAGCTCTCAAGCCCACCTTAGTCAGCAATCTCTCAAGTCTCAATGGCTAAAAATCTCGTACCACTCAGCCCAACAACTCCACATATGAAAAATAAATGATAACATGCGATGTAAAAATGAATGATGAACAGAGACTGAGATATGATAAGCAAATGATGAATCATGACTGAGTGTACAATTACATTTAAATCAGATAACTCAAAGCAACAGAAATAGTCTCATTAGGTCTCAACCAAATAGCCACATAGCCTAAACATGTCTTCTAACATGATTCACATCTTAGATAATCAAACAAGTAGGGAGAACATGGATGCAACAAGATATAATCGCAAAACAAGTCCGATCATGGTCTAATAGTCAACTTGAATCATTATTACCCCGGTGCACGCCCACACGCCCGTCACTAGCATGTGCGTCACCCCAATACAACTCATATAACATAGTTCCCAGGGTTAAATACCCTCAAATCCAAGTTTAGATATGTTACTTTCCTCAAACAAGCCAAATCTAATACCGAGCAAGCCAAACAATACTCTAAAAATGCCATCCCGAACGTATCAACCTCTGAACGACTCGAAACTAGCCCAAAGCAACTCAAAAATATCAAATAATACCTAAGAAAATAATTCCAAATGATAAAGGTTGAGTCTTTACATATTTACTCAAAGTCAGCCAAAATGTCAAACACGAGCCTACACTTGGAACCCGACAAAACTTAAAAAATCTGACAACTCATTCAATTACGAGTCCAACCATACTAATTTCACTCAAACCCAACTCTGAATCGATGTTCAAAACTCAAAAATTCACTTTAGGAAAGTTTAGACAAAAACTCCCTTTTGAAATCATCAATTAAATGCCAAAAATAAAGATGGAATCACGGAATATAATCAAAACCGAGTAGAAAATACTTACCCCATTCCATGTGGTGAAAATCACCTTCAAAATCGTCCTAATCCGAGTTCCATAGCTGAAAATATGCTAAAATGTCCAATACCTTCGAAAATAGAGTACTTATAATCACTGGACAAATATATGAATCGCGATCGCCGAAATACCATTGCGATCACGAATAAGAAAAATCACACTGCCTTGAAACACTCTACGCGTTCGCGAGCTTACTTATGCGAACGCGATGCCCACAGATGCAAACTCTCCGCGAACGCGGACAATACCACGAGAACGCAAAAGAGAAATCACCAGCTCCCAGCTCTCAGCTCAGCTCTATGCGAACGCGATGCCTCATATGCGAATGTGAACAGTAACTATCACAAACCTACCCGAACGCGTTCCTGGTGACGCGAACACGAAGAAGAAAATTACTCAGCTCCAGAATACCCCTTCGCAATTGCGAGTCTGGCTCCGCAATCGCGATGCTTTGCAGATACACCAACAATCAACAATACAACAACCATCCGAAATGATCTGAATCACGTCCGAAATTTACTCGAGCCCTTCGGGACCCCGTCCGAACATACCAACAAGTCCCATAAAATAACTCAAACTTACTCGAGGCCTCAAATCACACTTAACAACATCAAAATCACGAATCGCACCTCAAATCGAACTTAATGATCTTTTGAACTTTCAACTTCCAAAACTCATGCCGAACTATATCAAATCAACTAGGAATGATATAAAATTTTTCACATAAGTTCCAAATAATATAACGAAGCTATTCATATTCTCGGAACCACAATCCGAACCCGATATCATGAAGGTCAACTCCCCGTCAAGCTTATGAACATTCAAAACCTTCAAATTGTCAAAATATTCTAGAAATATCCAAATGCAAATTCGGGCATACACACAAGTCTAAAATCACCATCCGGACTTAACGAAACCATCAAAACTCCGATCCGAGGTCAAATACACAAAAGTCAAACTTGGTCAACTCTTCCAACTTAAAGTTTCCTAATTGAAAATTATTTTTCCAAATCAATCCCGAATTACATGAAAACCAAGATCGACGATTTACACAAGTCATAATACATCATATGAAGCTACTCAAGACTTTAAACAGCTGAACAGAATGCAAATGCTCAAAATGACCGGTCGGGTCATTACATTCTCCCCCACTTTAACATTCGTTCGTCCTTGAACGTGCCAAGAGTCATTACAAAACCATCAAATCGCTGTGTAAACTCACTATGCATAAACCAAGGGGATATCCCACGTCACCCCAATCCACACAAGTCCGTCAACTCA